TGCCACCACACCACCACGCCGTGCCCGGCCAGCGCTTACCAGCCAGACGATGATGGTGTTGTGGCCCATCTGGGCGGCGGCATGCAGCGGGGTCATGCCGTCGTGGGCACGCGCGTGGGGGTCGGCCCCGCAGTCCTGCACCAGGTACTGGATGATCTCCAGGTGGCCCTCCTGGCAGGCGAGGTACAGCGGGGTGGCCCCCGTCTTGGTCTGGGCACTCAGTGTGCTGCAAGTGGGGCACAGCGCCCGTCACCCGTGGCCACCGCTGCCGGCAGCGCGCCGGGATGGGTGGGCACAGGGGACACGTGGGTTGCAGGGACATGGGGGCACAGGGGACACGCTGGTGGGGGGCAGGCAAGGCAGCGCCAGGGCCAGGCAGCATGGGCAGCGTAGGCAGCGTGGGCTGGGAGCCATCCACCCCACGGCTCCCCACTGGGTCCCAGCGCAGCGGCGGCCACTGAGGCGGGAGGTCGCTAAGTTAATCAGCCTGCTTAGGCTAAGCTCCTTCCTCCGGCTGTTTTTGGACACTGCAATTTAGCAGTATTTTTAAATAAGCGGCTTAGGCAGCACCGGCTGCAGGGGAGCCGGCAGGGAAAGGCCAACCTGCACCATGGTGCTGCCCGGCCCTGCTGCCCCCGCTGCTGGGCATGGGCATCCCCCCGCTGCCTCCGGTGGGCCTTGGCACCACCACATCCCTCGTCCTGAATTGCGCATCCCGCATCCCCGCTGCGCAGGAAGCTGCTTTATGAAGCGCTCCATAAAAACCCTGTTGAATATTTCAAAAAGGAAGAGCAATAAATACTCCACTCTGTTATCGCAAGGATCGCGGGCCCTTAATAATTGATCCCTGTAACCATGAGATGAGCCGCGGCCCACGCGGCCTTCCCACCGTGCCATGCCGCAGCGCCAGGCCGGCATGCTGCTGGACGCTCCCCGAGCAGGGGCCTGGGTGGCAGAAGGCCGGTCTGGGGCATGGGGGGACGGACAGGCATTCAGCCTCCGATTGCCATTTCCCAGTAATCGTGAAGGGGTTAGGCTGCTTGGGGGAGTGCTGGTAAACTGCTTTGCCAGATGGCCATGACCCCACGCCGAGCCGCCGGCTGCCGGGGCGAAGGTGGGCCGGGAGAGCCAGCACCCCGCAGCGGCACCCGGGGATTGGATTTCGCAGCTGTAACGGAGCCTCCGGCCGGGTGCAGGGCTGGGAGCGGGGCCAGCCCTAAATAATTCAGGGGGAAGGCGGCGACGGCAGCGGAGCAACCCCAGCAAGAAGCGTGAAAGCCAACACGGGATGGCCGCCGCCAGCGCCGCACCGGGGCCGCCACCGCGGGCA